GGGCTCTGTCACGTAGGCTGCGTGTGCAGCTCGCCCATGGCCGTGGGAGCAGAAGGCTTCCTGCCTTCAGCACCAGTGCTCCCAGTGCTCCCAGTGCTCCCAGTGCTCCCAGACCCGGAGCTGCATGCTGCCCCTTCCCTCCCCAGCCAGAGCTGCAGCAGCTGGTTTGGGGAACATGTCACGGAGCGGCTGCTTCTCACCAAATAACGGGAAACGTGGCCTTTTGTGCTTTCCTTCTGATGGCTCAGGTCTTTGCTTGGATGTCAGATGAGCTGCGGGCTGGGAGTGGCAGCAAGGGAAGGGGCAAGGACAGGAGGCTGGGCATGGCACCCCCACGAGCTAGGGAAGACACTGGTGTGGAAGTCAGGCTCCCGGTGGCAAAGGGCTTTTCCCGTGATGACGGGGCAGTTTTCAGGGAAAAAACAAGTGGCAGATGGCTCTCGGGGGGATGCTGCTCAGCGCTGCAATACAATATTTTCTGGAGGGTTTATCCAGCCCTTCAGCGTGTCCCAGGCGGGGATGTGTGTGAGCTGAGCTGCCCGCCTGGGGCTGGGGATGCCTCACCCCCAAATTCAGCCACATCCTGAGGGCCAGGCGATGCGGCCGCCTCCCTGTAGGTGCCACCAAGGCAGTGTCACTTTGTCCCCAGAGCCAGCAGCAGCCTGTGGCAGAGCTGGGACCGAGTCCAAGCCCCTTGGCTCTGCTCCAGCTCCCTCCATCTGAAACCATCCTCCCCCCTCGAGCATCGCCTGCTCCGTGCACCAGCGGGGATCCCGGCCGTGGGGTTTGCCCGTGCCCACGGTCGCTGCCGCCTTCCCCCGGGCAGTGGCCGCAGAGGCAGGGAGCTCTGCTCTCCGAGGTGTTTCATTTAAAAGCCACTTTCCCAGTGCTCATTCTGCCCATGTGCCAGGTGGCAAGGAAATGTTTCTTCCCCGCATCCCTGCCGAAAGCTCTCAATAGGGCTTTTGTCACGGGGGCCAGCGTCCCCTCCTCGCTCCTGACCGCAGAGCCGAGGGGACGCTGCCCGGCTGAGACCTGTCAGAGCTCTGAGCGAGGGCTGGGACCCTTCAGTGAGCAGCGCGTGCACTACCTTAGCAGCACTATTTCCTTTCCTGAGGCCTAATTAGGGTCTGAAATCAAAAGCATAACAACCCTATTTCCTCTCGCTCAGTGGAGCTGTGAGAAGCAAGAAAGGAGCCTCCTGGCTGAGCGGCCTCGGGAAGGAAAGCACGTAAAAATGTCAGCAGAAACGCTGCTGCACGGCGCGGCGCTGCTGGGGCTCGCTGTGCCAGGGCACTTCCAGGCAGGATTTTCAGCACGGTTCTGTTTGGACACCTAAATGAGGACCAGATTTCCCAACACGATTTGGGTTGTCGCTGCTCCGGGTTGGAAGGAAATGGGGGAATTCTCCATCGCTGCTCTCAATGGGAACTGTTGTGCACTAATCTGGTGCTGGAAACCTGAACCCATGTGACCAGGAATTTGCTGGCAATGGCATAAAACAAAGGCTCTGTCCTGGGAAGTCAAAATGCCTGCAGAATTATTTATATGAATGCTTCAGATTGTCTTAAAGAGAGACACTTCGCAGAGACAGCTCCAGCAGCTTATGCAAAGGAGCCATGCAAATCAGGCTGATAAATATTTAATAGGAGGGAAACGCAACAAAAGGTGTTTGTGTTCTGCCCTCGGGGTGTGAGCGCAGCACCAGCATATGGTGCGTGTGGGGTGCACGGTGCGTGCGGTGCATGTGGGGTGTGCAGGGTGCGCAGTGTGTGCCGTGCCGCAGGCTGTGCAGGGTGCATGGTGTGTGCCGTGCCGCAGGGTGCTGCAGGGCTCCTCTGCTCCCCGCGGGAAGGAGCCTCCTGTGCTGCCCGGGGGTGTCTGGGGGGGGACAAGTGCCCGCAGGGCTGCTCCAGGTCCCTTTTCACAGGGCATCCACAGCCCCACAAACGTCCCTGCTGTTCCCAGTGGTGTGAGCGTTTTGCAAAGTGCTCGGGGTGGTGAAGGGCAGGGGAAAAGTACCGGGCACCAGTCCTTTGGTGTCCTTTGGTGTCCTTTGGTGGCTGTGGGGCGGCTGCTCAGGGGGTACCAAAGGCACCGAGGGCACCAAGTTGGGTGGGCACTGAGGCACCCGGCCCTGCGATCAGCCTGCACTTGGCACTGTGCACTGCCAGGGGAGCCCGCAGGCTGCTGAAGGTTGCGAGGAGGAACAATTCTCTGGAAAGTGCCCATCCCTGGTATAGAAAGCCCTTAGTGCCTGCTGCCCTGAGGTTCGGGGTACTGCTGCAGATCTGCCCTGCCTAGAAACCCCACCTCACGCTCCTGCACACGAAAACGTCTGTCCAGAGCCAGGTGGGGGTGGAGGAAAAAATTAGGCAAACCGTGCCTGGATGCTGCGAGAGGATGCGGCAGGCAGCTAAGAATAGCAATGCCTCCTCCAGCTTCCAGCCTGGCCGGTGCAGGAGGCCGGTGCTGCCCGCAGCGGGGCACTTCTCCCCCTAATGCGTCCGCAGGGAGCAATCGCGGGGAGTGGCTGGGAGGAAGCGCGCCGCGGGCTGAGCCGAGCCATGCCAGGTTTCCTGCTTTATTCTTTCCAGTAATCTGTTAAAATAACTGGAATGAATCAATAACTGCATGCTTAATTCCCTCCTCGCTCTGCAGAGCTCCCGCGGCCGGCACGGTCCCCCCAGGCTGAGCCACGGCTCCGAGGGGCTGCGAGGTGCCACCCCCAGCTGCCCCCCCCGGGCTCTCCAGGCACTGCTGCGAGGGGCTCCGAGCTCCTCCGGTGCCACGGCACTTCTCCATGCAAGCCGTTTCCCTGTGTCGGAAGGCTCCTCAGGGGAAAAAAAGCCTCTCACAAACCGATTTTATGGGTGGCTTCCAGAGGGCACAGAAAGCAAAACAAGGCACTTGCCTGGGGTCACTCAGCAAATTAGACCCGAGCTGGGAAGGCAGCCCAAGAGCCCACGCTCCCACCTCCCCTGTTTTACCCTCCAGGGTAAAAAACAAACCCTTCCTGCCCATGGCTGTGGCTGGTGCCTGGCGCTGCTGCACGGTGGGTGCAGGGGACCCGGTCGGCTCCTGCCAAAGTCAGTGAAAGTTTCTCATGCATGGAGCTGAAATTCATGTGCATCCACAAGAATTCCCCCTCCCCACCTTTTTTTTTTCAGTCTTGGAAATGCCTTGTAAATCCTAATGCAACTTGGCAGAAATAAGATCGTGTTTTGTTGTGCTACCCCCCAGCATCTTTCTGGGAATGGGAACGCTCAGGAGCATCGGCTCTGCTTGTGACACCGGGCACAGATCTGTGGCTGTCAGCAGCCCCGCTCCTTCCCTGCCCGTCCATGTTCTCCTTGCACTCTGCGAGGAACAAGGGGAAGTTTTGAGGACTGGGGGTGGACACACGTGGGTTTGTTTTGAGCTCCGAGCAGCGAATGACTTACAAGCACCGCGGGTACTTCGTGTCCCGTGCTGCAATACCCTGGTGTGCTCGGAGGGGTCTGCGCCGACCTCGCAGCCAGTAACTTTTGAACTCCTCCTCGACAGGGTAAATTATGATTTAAAGATGTGCGAGCTGAACTCTTGGCTCCTCTCAAGGGCTCTTTTCGGCTGATGGATGTGATTCCGATCTGCAGCTTCCTCCCTCTGTGTCGGGGCTGGGAGCCGTGCGGGGGGGACGCTCCCCTCCCCAGGCGTTGCTGCCTGTGTCCCAGCCCCGCTCTGCCCTGTGTGGGCAGGATCAGCCCCTGCCCCCTGGTCTGACCTGGGGGTGTCGGCCCCCCCATAAGAGACTGAGGTCCCAAACCTCAGCACCAGGCTCCTGAAGCTCCTGTGCTGTTCAGGGGAGCTCTGGGCACATTTCCCCAGCTCTGTTCTGGGGCAGGCAGGGCCGCGGGGCCGCACAGCCCTGGTCCTGGCTGCCTCCCCGTCTGTGCTCTCCTCTTAATTAGGAAGGGGCTTTTGTTCCATTTGCCCTGCCTCGTTTCGCTGTCTTTGTTTTTCTTGCAAAGCCGGAGTTCCTGATTCATGCTAACTTCAGCTGGCCGGGTAATAGCGTGTGTGTCTGCATAAGTTATCACCTCCGCGTCTCTCACACCCCCGGGGGCTGGGGGCTCAGGAAGGCTCGGGGCTCAAAGCAGCCCCCGGCCCTGCAGCGCTCCAGAAAAAACACATCTCCCCCTCCGGAGAGCGGCGGCGTTGGCAGGTTTGGCTGCTCGTAAATCAGAATTCCCTCAGCAGTCGCCCATCTGGTGGGTGGCACGGCACGAATCCCACGGGCAGGGAGCCCCGAGGGAGCTCGGCAGCACCCCTGGCCTGGCCCTGGTGCCCTTCTGCAGTGCCCCTCTCTGTGCCGCGGTGCTTCAAAGGTCCTGAGATGGCTTCAGGAGCACCTCTGGATGTTTCTCTACATGTACGGATGCAGCCAGCCTTGCTGATACCTTGGGTGGAAAGGGCGAAGCACAAGAGCAGCTCCCAGCCGTCCCTCCTCCTCCCTGGGCTCCGCAGCAGCCGGGGTCATTTTCTCCTCCCTGTTTCCTCCCCATAATTCACGGCTGGCTTGCGGTTTTTGACACTCGGATCACTCCCGATAAGAATTCCCCACCATTATTATGCAGATGGGCTTTATGAAAGCCCCTGAGTGCTTCTTGCCTCTGCAGTGAGGGGCTTAGAACAAAGCCGTGTTTATTTGCCAGACGCTGGGCGAATGCTAAGTGGCAGCACCGGGCACAGCATCGCCGCACGGCCGGCACCACCAGAACACCTCTCTGCTCCCTCCCAGCTGCTAGAATAGAATAGAATAGAATAGAATAGAATAGAATAGAATAGAATAGAAGCTTTTTTCAGAGGGGTTTGCAGCCGTGGGGAAGGGGCTGTACTGACCCGCGGATGGGCGGCGAGCCGAATTTATGGTCCGGAGAATCTGGGGTGAGATGGATGGGGCAAGAGATGAACGCGGCTGTTTCCCCCTCAGCGGCACAGGCCTGTCTTTGAATTCACAGGGAACACCTTCGCTGCTGATAAATAAAAGAGAAATATGCTTCCTGCTCGGCCGCGCTGATTGCAGCATCCATCAGAATTACTGCGCTGCTGGCAGGCTGTGCGGAGCGCGGCGCTGACAGATCCCCGCGTGGAGACGGATGGGACGGACGGGCACTTCATTCAGGAAAGATGGGAGAAGTGAAGGATGTGTTAAATGGCAATAACCCCTCCATGAAGTATTTCACCGTGTCAGACAGCAGTAAATGATGGCGGCTGTATCCAGCCTTGATTATTTCGTGTCTGTTTGCAACCTTCCATTAAAAAATGTACCCGCTCTCTAATTTAGCAACCCTACCCATATATTACCTGCGTGGTCGATGTGCTACACAAATGCCTCGGATAATGAAATTATAAGCAGGAGGAAATCACATTTTAATAGAAATCCTATCGGGCAACATGCCACGCCAAAATCGCATTAACAGGGCAAATTTTGTAGGGTGAGTTAATTTCTCGTATTAAACCAGCTGGCTGGAAAAAAACCAGCCGCACCTTCCGGGGCACCTGCCTTTCCTCAGGCTGCACAGCGGCCGTGGCGATGGTGGGAGCGAAGTGGGATGCTCGCTGAGGGATGGTGTGAGCACCCGGCCCCGTGCCCTGCCCCACTGCCCCACAAGGTGCGGGGCAAAATTCCACTTTCGAGGGTTTTTTTGCTTTGTTGCCACCTCCGTCATTTTCGTGGAAAGTTGTGTTGCGATACATGCATTCTTCTGAAGCCAATCTGGGTCTTTTTTCCAATTTTCCATAGAAAAATCGGGCTGTTTTTCAAAGAGAACAAAGCCAATTTCCAAGCAAATATGGGTTAGGCTTTGGTCTGTTTTCCAATCAAAGGGTTTCTTTGCCTCACAAACATGCCAAAAGGTTGCTTTCTCGAGTTTCTCTGTGTGAAAATCACGGTTTCACTGGAATTGGAGGAAGCAGGGAGTGAAATCCTCACTGGGGGCTCACGGGGCTGGTCCCCCCCTGCCCAGTGCCACAGGCACGGAGAGCCCAGCTCAGCCCCTGGGTGAAAGCCGAGGGCACTGCTGGCTCCATCGTGCTGCACGGGGTGCATCAGCCGCTGGCTGGTGGGGATCAGGATGAATTCGTGTGAATTCTGTAATTCCAGGATCCCTCAGCTTGCTGGAAGCACCCAGCCTGGCCGCAGGGGTGTGGGGTCACAGCGGCCTCATCGTGCTCCTGGGGTACCTCCACGAGGCATCACCAGCCCCGGTGCCCCGCGGGGCTTTGCACCCAGATGGAGCCACGCACGGCGGTGGCCCCGGGACGCCGAGCACCCACTGTCCACGGGGGAAACCCAAAGTTTTGTCGGGCTGCAGGGAGCAGTTGACAGCAGAAGTTGTTGTCTGACAGGAAAAGCAAAGCTCGGCCGCGTTTCAATGTGCTATTAATAACGGGCTGCTGCAGAAAGCGCTTGGCAAGTGGCAGCAGCTCTGAATTACGATGAAAACTACTGATAATAACAACCACCTGACTACAATTGGCTCCAGTCACTACGCCTTTCTCAGGGACCTCCGACAAGCTCACGTGTAACCCCGGGGGTCAGGCTCCCGGGGGGCACCGCCCGGGCAGGGCGGCAGCAGGGCTGCAGCCGCAGGGTGCTGCGGAGCTGGGGGGGTGTCCTGGGGGGCTGGGGGCTGCGGCAGGGGCTGGCCCTGTCCCTGTGTTCTCAGCTGACGTGGTGGCTTTGTCACCTCGTGCCCTGTGTGGCTGCCAAGGTGGGACATGGGATCCTCATCCCCTGGCTCGTGCATCCTGGTGCAAAGCCACCCCGAGCAGCCCTAGCCTGAGCTGTGCTGCTTGTCCCTGCCCATCCCCATCCCCATCCCCATCCCCATCCCATCCCATCCCCATCCCCATCCCCATCCCCATCCCCATCCCCATCCCATCCCCATCCCCATCCCATCCCATCCCCATCCCATCCCATCCCATCCCCATCCCCATCCCCATCCCCATCCCCATCCCCGTCCCCATCCCCGTCCCCGTCCCCGTCCCCGTCCCCATCCCCATCCTGTCCCCATCCCCGGGGGTTTCTGCTCCCCTGGCCCCCAGCTCCCCCTCCAGCTGCAGGCTGCAGCCCCCGCGCGCTCGTGGCTCTTGCAACTCGGGAACAGATGTGGAGTCGAAGGAGAGGATTTGGCAGCCGAGAGCTCTGTAATGAGGACTAAATGCTTCGCTGTTCCCTAACAAACTGAAAACAACGCGGGACTGGCGGGGGAGCTGCTCGCCCTGCGCAGGGGCACGGCGCAGGCGGCTGCTGCGCGGGGGCTCGCGGGCTGCCTGCCAGCCCCCCGACGGGCCGGCTCCAGGAGGATGCTCCTCCGCTCGCTTTGATTCCTCCGAGGATCCCAAACTGAGACGCTCCCTCGGGGCCCCGAGCTCCCCTGCAACGCCGGAGTTGAAAGGGACGGGGGCCTTGGCTGCCTTCGGTGGCTCCGTTTTCCCAGCGAAGCGTTTCACGTGGGAAGAGCTCGGCGGCACAGCGAGGGGACCTCACGCTAATGGGAACCATCAACCCGGCCCCAGCCCCGCCACCAGGAGCAGCTGAGACGAGGGAGGGAGCAGCGCCGGGGCTGCGGGGCTCTGCTCTTCCCTCGGTGCCCCAAAGTGAGCATCTCCATCGGGAGGGACAGCCTGGGGGAGGACAGGGGGGCTGTGCTGGGTCCTGCATGGGCTGTAATTCACGTGTGTTACCCCCTCCCCAATGCAGAGCCAGGCCGGGAGCAGCCCTGCCCACAGGTTTGTTTTGCTCACGGATGTTTGGAGGCTTCACCTGAGCCCCGTGGTCCTGCCCCACAGCTACCAGAGGGGCCGGGGATGCTGCTCTGGCTGCGACACCTCCTGCCACGGGGACCTGCCCCGGGGCCTCCTGTGTGGCCTTTCCAGCCCGTGACCGCTGGCAGCCGCGGGCTTTCATCCCGGGCAGGAATGCCAATTAAACGTCGGCTCTCTTGGTGTCGCTTACCCAAGAGCTCAACTCTAACCCTTCGCCTCTCGTATTGAAAACCAAGCCCCGCAACGCCTGTTAACATCTGCACAGATGTTCAGGGAGGGAGCTCCACGTCACCGCGCCGCACGGGTGGGAGCAGAGCCCTAGCACGGCTCGCTGGATGAGGCAGTGCTTACGGGGGCATCGCTGCTCCCACCGGGGAGGGGGGTCCCCAGGGACGTGTCCCCACAGAGCCTCAGGCTGCCACCCGTGTGTCCTGGGTGTGACGGCAGCCAGGTTGTTGCCGCAGCTCTCCTGGAATTCCGGAGCTCTGGCACCTCTCCTGCCTTTATCTCCCGAAATCTGAATGAAGCAGATGTTGCGCGCGCGACCATACGGCAGGAATTCTCCGCCTGGATCTGCAGCCTGAGTTTAATTAGCCACCTGAGCCCCATTCTTCCTCCTGGCAGCAGACGCGCACTTTAATTAATCATCTCGTTTTATTTACAGGGAGAACACGCACTCTGCCCGTGCCCTGCCTGCATCTCAAGCCCCCTCTGCTTTTATGGTCCGGGTACGGCTGCGAGGAGCCCCCGGGGCTGCCCAGGAGCTGCTGCTGCAGGGCTCAACGAGCTGCTCCCAGCCCAGGCTCCAGTTTGCCGTTGCACAGGAGCTAAAGCTCGGCTGGCGTGGTGCTGAGCTCCAGGGGACGGGGCAGAGGAATGTGTTCGCCAGCAAAACGTCCTGAGGACTGCATCCAAACAAGCCCAGGCTCCCAAAGGACAGGACCCGCAGCTGGCTCCAGCAGGTAGCACCAGCACTCTCAGTCTATTTCTAAAAAAAAAAAATAGAAAAAAAAAAGAAAAAACAATAGAAAGAAAAAAAAAAAAAAAGGAAAGAAAAAGCAAAGAAAAAAACAAAACCACGGTAGGTTGGTCCTCCAAACACAAAGATTTAACAGTGGGGCCATGGGTGGGCTTAAATATGTCAGAGTCGTGGAAAAATGGAGCCTCGTTTCCCTGTTTTCTTTGGAAAAGACGAAGGCAGGCTCAGGGCAGTGAACCCAGAGCCAGCGATCCCGGCACGCCTGCTGGTTTCTGTTCCGACCCAGTGATCCCAGCCTGCAGGTCGTGGGATGGCTGCGTGGGGAAGCAGTGTGGGGCAGGGGTGTTGGGGGGCTCTGAGGGGCACCAGGCTCCCCATCAGCCTCCTGCCCCCTGCCGTGCCACAGGCACAGCCCACCTCTCCCATTCATGTTCTGTGCCTCAGGAGAGGGGAAGAGAACCTCCCTGCCTGAGAAATCCCCAGGTAATTGGCAAAGCACCAGTGCAGGGAGGGCAGCGGCGATGTCCAGCGTGATTGTACCGAGTCTGGGCTGGTGGCAGCGAGCTGGGAGGTTTTGGTCGTGCTCCAGGTCCCCATCAGAGCAGCTCAGGGCACAGCCCCGTGCCAGGAACCTCCTCAGTGAGGATGAGGAGTGCCAGAAGCTGGGGACCCGTGGCAGCATGATCAGAGCTGCTCCCACCCTGCCCCTTCCTTCTGCTTGTGGCCCCCGCTGGCCGTGGGCACCGTGACAGTGACTTGCACGGGTCTGCAGGAGGAGAGGTGACTGCAGGAGGATGGGCTGGGGGCTGGGATGGGCTGGGGGCTCTGCAGGAGTGGATGGGCTGGGGGCTCTGTCCTGGAGGGCACCGTGCAAGGCAGCCTCTGAAGGGCTGTGGGTGCGCTCCCATGGACAGGGGCTTGAAAGACTGTGGAGGGGAGGAGCGAAGGAGCAATACGGAATAATATTGGGAGTGTAGAGATAAAAAAAAAAGGGTTGCAGAAAGATGATTATAAAAGCATAACCCGTTCCATATGCAGCCAGCCGAAAACCCACCCAGTGCCTGCGCAGGGAGCTGGGTCTGGCGCAGCGGCCGCGCTCAGCCACGGCACGCAGCCGCCGAGCCGCTGGCACCAGGCCAGCAAAACAAACACGGCGCGCGGGGCTGCTCCAAGGAGACCTGGCTGCCCCCGCGCCTGGCCCCAACCCCAGGCATTTTCCAGCTGCAGAACTTTCCATGACAAAGAAGGGTTTCAGGAGAGGAGCCTCGGCGCACCGGGAGGAGGAGAACAGGAGCCGGGAAGCGGAGGAAGGCTGCGGCACGGGGGACGGGGAATGTGGCTTGTGCGGGGGACCTGGGCTTGTGCCATCGCCTCCCAGCCCTCTGTCCCCAGTGCCTGGGGAATGTCGAGGGGGGCAAAGCAGCAGCACGCAGGGGGCACTGCTCAGCTCAGCCCTGCACAGGGCTCCAGGGGCTGCGTGACCCTGGCTATAGCACGTGGCATCGCCTCACACCCCCCTAACAAGACCTTGACACACAGGTGGTGATGTTTTGGCCTTCAAAGTCTGAAATCGTTTTTTTCTTGACCCAGCCTGTAGCTGGTGTCCAGCGTGCAAACAGCAAAGTGCTGCTCCTGCAGCTCCTGCAGCCCCCGTGTCCCCCCAGCCTTGCCAAGGTGCCCTCGCTCTGCCCAGGAGCCCCTCAGGGTGGCACCGAGCGGGTCCCAGCCCCTCCGGGTGCCTCGTGCATGGCAGGGCAGGTACCTCGGCCCTTGGAGCAGAGCTGGCCAGGTCTGAGCACAGGAGGCAGAGCTGGCTGGGCTTGCAGGTGGCTTTCTGGGTCAGATCCTGTGCCAGGCCTTCCCAAAATAGATCCTCTATTTTAATCCGTTCGTTATTTCTTACCGGTTTCCACAAAGCACTTGTTATTTCTATGTCCTGTGCCATTTGTCTTCCCCTTCCAGGCGTTCCTGCTGCCAGATGATGGCTCGTGGTGGCTGCGGCAGGCGTTTGATGGCACGCTGCTCAGAGCCAGCCCTGGGAGCACCTCACCAGTGACAGCATTTTATGTATCCGCTGTTTTTTTTTCCTTCCTATTTCAGTCTTTTTCCCCCTCCAATAAATCCTAACAGCCCAAAGTGCAGGGCCGAGGAGCAGCAGCTCTGCTCTCACCCCCTCTGCTCTCCCTGCAGCCTCTCAGCTGCCCGCGAGGCACAGCCTGAGCCCCTGCCCAGCACAGGGGGATGCTCTGCCTCGGGGTGCCCTGGCGCAGAGCTCGGGGGGCGCACAGATGGTGCCTGGTGGGGATGGGGCCAGGACCCCCGGCGCTGCCCCTTCCACCATCCCGCCCGCTCCGTACGGATGCGCCCCATCCCCGGGGTTGTCTCCGGGTGCGCCCCTCGGCACAAGGCAGGCGAGGGCTCAGCCCCGTGCCTGTTCCCAGCCATGTACCGGGGCCAGGGCGCGCTGCCCTTCCCGGGAGGGGCTCAGCACCCAGCGGGCCCCGGCTCTCCTCATCTGGTGGGGATGGGGGGAGGCAGCGCGGGCTGGAAGGGGCTGCAGGGGCGCGGTATCGTGTTCTCTGCTCTGCGGCGCAGCATCTCCTTGAAGCGTGACAGCCGCGATTGCTTCCAGATGCGGCGCCTCCTCGCCTCCAGCCGGCCGGGGTGGATGTGGTAAACTCCGCGATGGAAACCAAAACCCGCACCAGATGTACCGTGTCAGCGGC